CCCGGGGGCCCCTGTGGGGATGGGGCTCCCTGTCCAGGGGGTGCTCGCCCACCCGGCCGTTCTGGCCATTGGCCGCCACGTTGGCCTTCACGGCTACGGGGTTGAGGGAGAGCTCCAGGCCCAGGGGTTTCCGTGGGAACTCCTCAGGCTTTGCTGCATTGGAAGCAGAGGAAACAAAATGAAACCCAAACTCTGCATCAGTTCATTTTTGCATCCGGCGGGGAAGGCAGATGCTGCACCCAGCAGGTGCCAGCCCTTCTGGCTGCCCCGGCTCCCAGTCTGGTCCCCAGGGGACACGGGTGCCACCGGCCGCTGCCGCTGGGCTGCCCGCCTTCCCCTCTACCCACCTGGCGGGGGGAGGTCGAACTTCATCTTGCGCAGTTCCGTCATCGACACCTGCAGTTGCTCAATGACGGCATCGTCCTCGTACTGCAGGGAAGCGGCAATTTTCTCCTGCAGAAATTCCCGTAAATCTTCCAGCGTCATCTTCAGCAAGCGCTCTGGGGGATGGTAGAAAGGAGTAATGGCAGCGGCACGGCCACATTGCAGGGTAGAACAAGTGTGGGCTGCATTGCTTTGGTTTTATCTGGGATTCTGCGCTGCTGTTCCCACTCCGGGGTGGGACAGCCTGAACGTTTTTGCCTCTCTCCCACTGTTGCTCAGGGTTGTCGAGACATTTACGTATCTGTGCCGCCTCTGGGCAGTAGCTCAGCAATGGCAGGACGATGCTGGGGCTGGGACCTATGCTGACCGGGATGCACGTTTTGGGCCATTTCTGGAAGTTCTCACCAATACCTCTAGGAGGAGGAAAAGCTCCATGAGATAGACCTGAACGTTTTTGCCTCTCTCCCACTGTTGCTCAGGGTTGTCGAGACATTTACGTATCTGTGCCGCCTCTGGGCAGTAGCTCAGCAATGGCAGGACGATGCTGGGGCTGGGACCTATGCTGACCGGGATGCACGTTTTGGGCCATTTCTGGAAGTTCTCACCAATACCTCTAGGAGGAGGAAAAGCTCCATGAGATAGACCCCGAGCGTCAGACTGAACGGCTGCTGCTCGGGGTCTATCTCATGGAGCTTTTCCTCCTCCTAGAGGTATTGGTGAGAACTTCCAGAAATGGCCCAAAACAGGGATGCAGGCAGGGATGCCGACCCACGCGAGGGATGCAGGCAGGGATGGGATGCAGGCAGGAACAGGACGCAGACAGGGATGCTTGATCCACACCACACATTCCTCAAGGAGGAGAGATGATTTCACAGCCTGGCTGCCTGCCAGTTTCCCAGTCTTTGCAAACAAAACGGGATACTTGAAGATGTATTTCTGGATAGCCTGTTCTTCATTCAACTGAAGGAAGAGCAGGGTGGCTGTTTGCAGAAGCCAACACATGCCGTCCCATAAATCCCACTGGCCCAAAGGTTCCCAGCGTGCAATATCAGCATCGCTCCTGTCCCAGATTAAAGACCTAACAGGGCAACAAAGCAAGGCTGCTAGCTTATGGGAGCGGAGGGGTTCAAAGTCCCAAAGATCTCGAGGTAGAAACATCGCTGCCTTAATGTTGTGTAAGAAAACCAGGTTTTGGTCATTTTAGAAGTATATTAATGGATTTATTTCTCCCTCTACAGCCTTTTCAGCTGAACTGCCACATAGACCTTTGCAGACAGATGGGTTGCTGGCTGCATTGCCCCTAAAAGCACACTGATAAAAGATATGGGGCATAGCACGCAAGAAAAGGCAGCTGGGAGCGTTTCAGGTGGGGTTTGCTGTGCGCCGAGTGCAGGATTTCAACCCTCACGGCATCTCATTTCCTCCCCGGACCAGCAGCACAGGACTGTGCCTTTTGGGGCCAGCGCAGGGCACCGAGCAGGCCAGCAGTGGCCAGCAAGGCTTCCCGGGTCGGCAGCACAAGGGTGGCCCCGCACGGTGCCACCTCTGCCATACGAGACGCGCTCTGCTGGGACCTTACTTTTGTGCAGCTTGAGGATGGTGTAAGCCATGGCCGTCAGCACCCGCTCTCCTTCCAGAATGTAGATATCCCACAGCCGCAAGGTGAGGGTGAAGGGGGTCTGTTTCAAACACACAAAAAAAACCCCAGCTTGTTAGCGCCACACTCATTAGCACTGATGGATGGGATGATGATACAGAGGTTGGTGGCATCACTATGTCCCCTCACACCAAAACACATAACAGGATGAGGCATTGAATGTCCAGGATTCATCTATAACACAAAAACCTATTTTATCGTCTATGGTTCTGCCTTAAAGCTAACACCCTTGGGTGGCTGGGAAAGTACTTAAAACCCAGCCGTGAATGCAGAAAAAGGAGAAACTTTCCGCACAGGCATACTAGCACATGGATTCCGCTACCCTGGAGAGAGCATCATCATCTTTCAGCCTTGCGGGTGCACAAAACCACTCCTGTATCCAGCCAAGTTGCCCAAACAGATGAAGGGGGATAGGTCTGAAGGCCCAACAGTGCTTCACCAAGCATTAAAAAATCACTCCTTTGGTGCCTAGAGAAGTGTCTTCCTTACACACAGGCTTATTTCTGCTAGAAGAACCTCTGCAAGAGGTTTTTCATTTGCACCCGGACCCAATCTGACAAACAGAAGCGAACTGACATCCAAAATGATGGAGCAGCCCATCATCTCCCAGCAAAGATTTAAGGCATCTCACAACACAGAAATTAATACTAGTTCTAGTGTGACATTTAAGTTCAAATTTAGGATGCTGCGCTTACTCTCCAGAGTTTGGCACAACTGGCCGTTGCAGCTCTTTTACCACATGTTGCTGCAGTTAAAGGGATTCTGCATTTCATACAGCTTTTAGTGACAGACTGCAAAGCAGTGAGTTCCCTCTCAAGGGGAAGAGGTCATCCGCTGCTTTACAGGAGATGGGGCAGCAGAAAATTGCGACTGGGGACACACAAATGTCCTAAACATTAGCAAGTCCGGATCTTGCGTTCAAGTGTGTCGTGCACAACGCTGCCCCTAAAAATAAAGTAGTCTTGGCTCAGGACTGGCAAATCAGCTCTGGACAAATCAGGGTAATTTTCTCACGCTTTCATGTGTCTCCAGTGCCCAGCCCGCTCCTTTGCCTGTAGCTGCTGCAGTGCTCTTTGTACAGGCTTGTGCCTCCAGCTCTTCTTCTCCCTACGTTGTTTCCAGAGCCAAAGTGAGGTTAATTGCCTTTGCAGCAGTGCCAGTGGGCAGGAGAAAGATCTCTCCCGACTTTGAAGCTCATACCGCTGCTGCTGAGCCACCTCCCAGCAACCGCTTCTTGAATTTGCTTGTCATCAGTGACATGCAGTTATTTTTAGCTTCTCCCTTATTAATTCTTTTGCCTTACGAGAGTGTGTGTAATATCCCACCTTATAAAATATTAACACCTTCTTCAAATCATGATACTTTTTCAAAAAACCCGGCAGATTAACCATGCACGCAAGCGGCAGAGCAGCACGCAACCCGCAGAGCATCCTCACCCGGTCAATGAAACACTGCAGGAACCACTTGGTCGTGTAAATCCCCGTAGTCATCTGCTCCTTGTCCTAGGAGGAGACAGCAAAGAGAGACGGGCGTTTCACCGGGCTGGCTGCTGGAGGTTCAAGCAACTCATAGGGCTTTTGGGGAGGTTGGCTGGTTGGTTTATTAATGCTGGGGTCTGGGTGCAGGATCTGGCTGCGGTTTGTCTCCCAACAAAACCCCGGCTTTAAATACCGATGTTGAAGCCCTGCTTTGGCCCTTTGCCCAAGATACTCATTGAACCTGGTCCTCGACGCGGCCAGACTTCAGCCACAACTTTGGAGAGGGATTGCTAGGAGAAGCTTTTCTGGCCTAGTATCTACTCCAGGGATTTACAAAAACCTTCCAGGAACCCAAACCACGCACTCCTTGCAGACTACCATTTTTGTTTCCATAGCAATTCCCATGCTCAAGTCTCTTGGAGCACCACAAAAATGATTAACCCCAAGTACCCCACAGGTAAATCCAGACCCGCACAGTCAAGCCAGCTTTGCTAGCACTACCTCATTTGCATGGCATGGCTGCTGCAGGAGCCGGACAGCCTGGCAGGCGAAGGAAAACTCTTAAAAACCTCACCACCATCACCCCAGTCTATCACTTTTCTATCCCTGTCTGGCGCCTGGTGCAGCGCTCGCATGCAGCTTTGCTTTTTCTGGCACGGCTGACGGCGTGGCACGGCTGGTGCTGGGATGCACAGCGCCCTGCACGAGCACAAAGTCAATGTGACCACTGCTGCAAAGCCAGCAAAGCGGCGGGGATGGGAAGAGAAAGAGGCCCATGGGATTAACGGCCGGCTCCGGTCTTTGCTTTCAGCTGGTGCTGGGCACCTGCAGGCCTGGGGAGCCCCTGGGAGGCAGGAGGCACGAGCAGCTTTCAGAGAGTTATTCCCATCCTGCCCGCCCAGGTTTCCCCACGCCCATGGCTATAATTAAGTGAAAACCTGTCCTGGCTCTGTTTCACTTTTACGGCCAGGGCTGGCTCATTTGCAGCACGAAGCAAGAGCTGTTGCACATGATGGCAATATAAACAGCTTTTCCTGGAGCCGGGCCACCGAGCCCCTTGGGAGTGTAAGAAACCTTGAGGAGCCTGGCCACTGAATACTAACCGTCTACAGCAAATGCAAGGGGGGGGCAAGGGGGAAAAAAAAGGGAGCAGGTGTTGCAAAATAGTCGCCTAGACGTTAGACTGCAGTCGATGTGTCCTGCAGATGCTTCTCCAGCCACCAAATGGGCTTGTACCATCTGCTAGAGAAAAAAACAACTGGACGTGCCCAAGCAACAAAACACAGCAAATCTTACACGCCTCCTGTCTTTAAACAGCAGCAAAACCATTAAATGCAAGCACTTGGGGCTAATAACTATTGAATTAAGACTCCAGACAGTCCAGCATCACCCTTCAGGCTTTGCAGCTGGTGTAAGAACACAGCCCAGCCTCGCTGCTGTATGCAACAGCTCCTCTTGCTGCAGGCTCCGTGAGCCTTCCTGCCTGGCTTTCCTAAGGAAGCCTTTAGATTTTAGCAGCCCCTACGCTAATGATGACCAGCGAGCAAATGATAACCATGCGCCTCAGCAAGATTCAGGCACCCCATTTAATAAACGCTCTTTGCAGCTGAAGCAGTCCTACGCGGTTAGAAATATGTTCAGTGGTGCATCTATTTGGCAGAATACTACACTAATTGCTTTAGCATTAAAATGCGATATTAGTATGGGGAGACAGACAGCAAAGAGATACCATGTGCTTCTTCAGTTTGGGAAACAGTTTGCTTAAAATCTGCTCGTGGTGAGCCTGAAACCTCTGCAGCTTCGGGAACCCAGGAATGAAAAAACCTTAACAAGAAAAGATGAGAGAAAAAAAAAATAATCAGAAAAGCTCTGGAAAAGTCACATGGGCAGCCTGATTTTCTAGAAAGTCACCCCCTCCGTTGCCTGTTGAAGTCAGCTGGACCACAGTGCGCCCAGCTACCTCCCTCGGCATCCCTCCCAGAGCCCCCCCTTCACCCCATCTAGGTGGGCGACAGCACCCTCAGCACCAAGCCCCGCCGGTCCTCCCCACCCCAGCCCCGCAGAGCAGACCCGCTCACCTCCCCACCGCCCGCCCGCCGGAGAGCTGGCGTGGCCAAGACCTCTCTGGACACACCTCGGTGCTTACCAAGAGAAAAGCTGAAGATGTTTGAACACCTCACTGTTTGTGCAGCGCCCTGTAATCTAGCAGGACACGCGCTTAAGACTGTCCAGAGTTATCAAGCCATGAGGCTTAGCCCTCCGCTCAAAAAATAACGCTCTGCGCATAGCATACTGCTAACCGCAAGTAAGATGAAAGGATCTTTAATGTGTTTGAAGTAAAACAATACAGCACATTTGGTGGAATTACATCTTCATAAAAACACAAGGGCACGTAGCTTGTGGCACGCTAAAAAAGGAGCATTACATGATGGCTCTTGAATGTACTTCTGTGAGACTTCTTAAAAACTCGCAACCTTGAGTTAATTGATTGCCAAGGGCAAGGCACTCTGGAGGGAAGACAGCACCTCTGTGAAAGTGTTAATTACTGAACGCTAAAGCTCAGTGCCGATAAGCCACATTTTTCTCTGGTGAACTTGTCTGCCTCCACGAGTGAAGTTCAGCTCCGTAGTCGGGTTGCGTCGGCACATAATTAAGCCTTACCCGCTTTAAACAAGTACGTGAGGAGAAACGAGGCCCTACCGACCAACCTGAACAGCCTTCCCTCCCGTCGCAAGAGCCCCCATCCGCATCCCACCCCAGCCTTACCGTGCATGGCGTGCCGCTGGTTGGTCAGCAGCTGTGCCAGTGCCCAAAATGCATCCTCTTCGTTTAAGTACATCAGGAGGATGGCTGCGATCTGGCTCATCCCTTGGCAGTAGCTCACTTCCTGCAAGAGGCAAAGAGGGGCACACGTGCTGCCATGCCGTCGGACCCCACCATGATGCTAAAGCTGCAGAAGCAGGTCGGGCTGCCTGTGCTTCCCTCTCTTTCCAAGTCTGTCCCATTTCAAGGTCTTGACCGTTTATGCCCAAATTCACAGCTCCTGTATGTCTACAGCATCTACCATGTCACTGACTCACAGAGTGGTTTGGGTTGGAAGGGACCTTTGAAGATCATCTTGTCCAACCCCCTGCCATGGGCAGGGACATCTTTCACTAGATCAGGTTGCTCAGAGCCCCGTCCAACCTGGCCTTGAACACTTGCAATGACGGGGCACCCACAGCTTCTCTGGGCAACCTGTTCCAGCATCTCACCACCCTCATTGTAAAAAATGTCTTCCTTATGGCCAATCTAAACCTACCCTCTTTCAGTTTAAAACCGTTGCCCCTTCTCCTGGCACTACAGGCCCTGGTAAAAAGTCTTTCTGTCTTTCTCACAAACCCCTTTTACATATCGAAAGGCTGCAATAAGGTCTCCCTGGAGCCTTCTCTTCATCCCCAGCTCTCAGCCTTTCTTCAGGGCAGAGGTTCCAGCCCTCTGACCATTTCTATGGCCCTCCTCCAGACCCGCTCGAGCAGGTCCTCCAGCGGGAGGTGAGGGGCTTGCAGGTAATGCGGCCCCCCCGCCGCTCCCCCCACCAGCCCTGCTCAAGCCTGGAGAGCGAGGGACAGAAACCCCAACACAAGAGGTGCCTGCAGCTACTTCAAGGAATAGGGGATGGGATGATAAACAGCATGTGGCTCCGATACTGTTTTGGATTCCTTCAGCCACATGAGCACTGAAGTAATTAAAGAATAAATAAATCTGGTAAGCATTTATCTGGTATGAGGGAAGGCAGGGTCTTTGTTTCCTTGACTACCCCCCCAAGCATCTTCTGTACTTTCTAGGGTAATTGTCCCCTCCTGGAGATGGAGGCAGTAGGTTCAGCTGTTAATTTAGGCTTATTCTGCCTGTGCCCTTCAGCTAAAAATGACTGGTTCGCTGTAATAAATCAGTGTTTTCAACAGGGATGCCATTCAGTCTATGACAAGAAGTCAGAACATGACGGACCTTCAGCCAGGAGGTTAGTCTTGCTGGAAAGCCAAAGGGCAATCCCTTGTTCTTTGCTGACACTCGCCCAAACCGCATCTGCCAGATGTCATTTACCAGGTGACAAAATGAACAAGGGAATGAAACAACTGTGCAAAGAGTCTTGTGCTGCCTGCGAGTCTTGCAGCTGTCTGTACAAACCAGTATTAGGACTTAAAATTGGAATTACCACTGGCTAAATGTGGGGGGGTGTCTATATATGTATACACACACACAAACATACATATATACACATATATAAATATATATAAAGCTTTTTTAAAATCTTTTTATATATATATATAAAGCACAACGCTATTCACTTTAACTGGACTAATTTACTACTTACGGTGTTATAAACCGAGTATGCTGACAGGACATGGAAGAGTGCCTGTTGCCTGGGGAGAAAGAAGGATATTAAAACACCTGAGCGTGAGGTCGTCAGCTTCATGTGCACCCCAACGCGTACGCACAGAGAGCAAAGGCTCTGAAAGCACCCAGCCAACTGGTACTTATGCCTTTTGCAAGGAGCAGGGCTCACAGAACCAGAAAGCACTTTGATGGGCCCGTGGGATGGGACCTCTTCCTTCAGCGGGGAGTCACCAGCGGCCCCGCGGAGCGGGGCTGAATCAGCCTGCTCCATCAGCAGGTCTCCTGGAGAGACACGCACATCCCCACACGTGCTGTGTTTGACACACCCGCTCTTCAGGTTTGGAGTGGTGGTGGGTTTTTAACAGACTTGCAACCACCCAGGCATCAAGTGTTATACGTCCTGGGGGATAGCACTGCCACCGTTTTATTAGTAGATTCCTTTCTCCTTACCCTCCTTGCTAAAGGAGTCATCCCATGGAGATACGCAGCGCAGGCTTCCTCGCAGACTGTATGTCTGTGGAGGGCAGCCAGCTGTGACTCATCCAAGTGACAAAGCCACTTTGTCAAACCTCTCCAATCCCGTCTGTTGTGGAGGCCACGTACACCCCATCCCACCCAGCTCCCGACAGACCCAGCCCGTCATCCCAGCCATCCCAAACCAAGCCCTCTGCAACTGCACCCCTGGCACCCTGGGGGACAAGGCACCGCAACAGGCTGGTGCTTGGCTCAGGAACTGGGGCTGAACGTGGTCCAGGACGGACCTGTCCGAAGAGAGAATCAGCAGCCCAACATCTGTGGGTCATACCACGTGCTGACGGTTTGTGGAGCAGGCAGAGATGGCTTTGCTCTCCTGTGAGCTGCTCTGAGCCAGGGGGCTGGTGGCCACCCCAAGCCAGGGGGCTGCTGGCCACCCCATCCAGCCCACACCCACTGGCACTGATGCCCGTACAGCGAAACCTCCCGTACTCACTTCACCCCGTAGCGATCCCGAAACATGATGTGGTTTCGGAAGGTGCGGTTAACATCCAAATCTATCTGCTTGATTTCCGATGAAAAGCTCTTTGCTTGTTCTTTCATTTGCTGGAAGGGAGAGGGGCAGACAAGAGGAAGGAGTCAGACACCATCTCAGCCCACGCCCCGCTCCACGCAGCGAGAAGGCATGCTTCCTGCAGCTTGTGAGCGGCACAGAGCTATCGCAGAGCGACTCGGGGACACTGCCGTCTTGCAGCGAGCAACGATCTGCAGCCCGGAGGTGAATCCCCGGCCCCTCGGCTGTGCTGCTGGCCCAGGGAGAAGGGGATGACCCCACGCTCACACGCTACGACAGCGGCAGCTGCCAACCCAGCCTTCGCCCATCTTCCAATGCAGACACCGAGTTTTCAGAATCTAAAACCTTTACAATTAAATTCCACTCTGATTTCTTTTGATTTCTTTGCAGTACCCAGCCTGGCTGTCATAAAGCATCGAGACCTCTGTTGGCGCTTAAGGAACGATACACTTCTATAACCAACACGCACACGTAAGCACCGAGTCCCTGAGCTTTTCAAAGGCTCAGTCATAATAAAGTCCAAACTGTTACGATGGACTCTATGAAGTGATCTCCAACTACTACTTCCCCTGCAGAAGAGAATCATCTTAAGTTTAAGGAGTTTCCACTAGAAAAGCAGTTCTGGGGTATTCCCTTGGACTGGTACAAATTTTAAGGAACTGGCAGAGTCCAGAACAGAAGCTAAACTCAAAACCAAGAATCGCCAGGTTCCCCCCCACGCTGGCTAATCATTTAAGGCAGCATCACTCAGATAAAGGACTGAAGTCCACTGCAAAAAAAGGAAATTCAAACCAAAGCTAAGCCCACCTCAACCAATTGCGCCCTCAGAGTCCCAAGCTCAAGACGCTCAATGGACGAATCCTACTGCAGCCCCATTCGTAACCCTGTTCAGCCCAGCGCATGCAGGCAAGGACCATCATGCTACAGCCAAGCATCTCATCTCACAGCCTTTAGATACCACCGGTGGTCATGCAATTGCCCTCCTTCTTTAATATCTCCAGGGTTAATAATACATTTTGTGACTGTCTTCAGGCAGCCTGAGATCCAGCGGCAATTAGGGGCAGCGGAGATGAGCAGCAAGTCCAGCTTGCCTGGAGCCCCGGGTCAGGACCCCTCCTCGCTCACACAGGAGACAGAAAATAGCACATCTGCACAGATAGTTAATCATCTGCTCCAGCAGCTGCCACCCTACTAATGCTTGTCAGCCTGATACAAGGTGCCTCCAGGCTGCTGTTGACCTCCCGAGGTGGCCACATCAGCTCTGGGGAACATCAAAAGGTCATTAGCACCCAGACGTGCCCAGCACAGCCGATGCTCAGAGCAGTCACAGCATCTCGGGAATATTAACTCCAACCTTGAAAGCAGCTGTATGGAGGAGCAACAGCGCAGGGGCTATTTTGAATTCTTGCCTGCACAAGACAAGGGAGGATAAAAGTGACGACAGAAGGAAGATCTGATGAACAACATAATTTCCCTGCTGTAAATACTGTGCTCTCTGCATCCGATGGCTCCTTGCCCTCTATAAAGCAGGCAGACTACCTGAGACAAGATGACTATTCACATGCACTGGGTCACTTCAGTTCAAATTTCCCTGCTAAAGGCTCTCTTGTTTTCCCTGCCAGAACAACACAGAAATCTCCCAAAGACTGTAAAAACCCCTGCTTTGGGAGTTTTCTAAATCACTGCGCCTGAGTAGCAGGTAGGTTGCACAGCACTTTGTCACCTCCATGCACCCAGGAGGCTTTATTAATTCTGCAGACGGTAAACAAGAAGCCCAGGATGGGTTGTTCTCCTTTTTTCCCTTGTTTAAGTAACCTAGGGGCTCCACAGATGCTCTGCCGAGCTCATTGCACTGTGAGCCCTGCAAGCCAGCGCAGAGCAGAGGCTGGGAAGCTGGAGGTCCCGTCCCAGAGACCTTTTACAAAGCAGCGGGTAAAAGCCAGGATGCCTCTGCTCTGCCCCACGGCCAGCACGTTTCTCCTGCCGCCTTCTCAGCTCTCCTCAAGCCCTCTCGGTTGTGGCTATAAAACCCCAGGGAGGCAGAACATCACAACCACATGGAAACCAAGTGTGGCACGTCCCATGGTAGCTTCGGGCTCCTGCAGCATCAGGGATAACTGAGCTGCCATGGCCTTTAGAAAGACTCGGAGACTTGCATGGAGAGGACTTGGAGGACAGCTGGGATAAGATAAAGCACTACAGAAGCAAATGGACCAGGCTTTTTAATTGCATCACTCCAGAGGCAATATGGACACGGGGAGCAAGATATCCTGCTTGGCTGGAAAAGTAGCTCCTCCACCAGCCCGAGCACAGGGGACAACATCTCTACAGTAGAGAGAGCAGTGGTATGAAAAAAGAGAAGTCACCTAGCACGTGCCAGGTGGCACGCTCAAAACTCAAGGCACATGCAAAAGCCAGGCTTTTGTGCCATGGTTCATGCCCCAAGGAGAAACGGGGTGGCCTTGGGACCAGCCCCTCCAGCACACAGGGCTGGGGCTGAGACTTGGTCCCTTCTTGAAGGCAAAACCCTCATCCAGGACCTGCGCTGAGCCTCTTCTGGAGGAAATCAGGGGAGAGCTAATTACTGGCGGCAGGTGGCACCAAAGAAGAGGAGGATTAAGATGAGCTTGTAGGGGGTTTGCATCCAGCAAAGCCTATTAGCCCTGAAGCTCCTGTTTATCGCAGACCCCTCTGGAGCACAGATAAACTCCTTGTGACTTTCATTTGTTTGGATGGCTTCCCCGCCTGTGCGGCACAGCTTCGAGGGAGGGAGCATGATAAGAATCTGCGTGCTGGGAGAGCTTCGTTATCTCTGCTTTTTGCTGTGAGCCCAGCCCGCCTTCCCCAAGCCCCTGCACGTGACTCCATCCCAGCGGCATCTCGTTATTAACATCTACGCTTGACTAACTGTAATGAGCGTTAACATCATCCTGCTTAATAGGCAGGGATTTTTAGAAACACCTGCTGGAAGCAGCACTCGACCTCCTGCCTCCGAAACATAACTGTCTCCACGACACCCTGATCCTCGCCCGGGTACGTGATGCAAGCTAAATCATAATACATGTTTGGAAAATAAGTTAATTATCAACCAAGGGCTTCCACACGCTGCCTATGGAAAGAGGCAGTGTAAAGGAGCCAAGATGCCTGAAATAAAAAATAACAAAATACAGCATGCCCCGTCACTCGGGTTCTTGTTCAATGCATGCTACAGAAATTGCTTATTTTATACCAAGGAATCCAAGCCTGCAGCATGCAGTGCTCTGGTAGGAAGCATTGCAAGGCAGGCTTTTCTCCTATCTGCAGAGAAAATAAGTGATTTTTAATAGAAAAATTATTTTTATTTGATTTTTAATAGTGATTTTTAATAGAAATTTTCAAGACAGTTATAAAAAGATTGA